TAGCCAGATCAGATCTATAGTCAGATCAGATCTATAACTATAGTCAGATCATATCTATAACTATAGTCAGATCAGATCTATAACTATAGTCAGATCAGATCTATAACTATAGTCAGATCTATAACTATAGTCAGATCAGATCTATACCTATAGCCGGATCAGATCTATACGTATAGTCAGATAATATCTATAACCATAGTCAGATCAGATCTATAACCATAGTCAGATCAGATCTATAACTATAGTCAGATCAGATCTATAACTATAGTCAGATCAGATCTATAACTATAGTCAGATCTATAACTATAGTCAGATTTGTAACGAGACATTAATTACTTTTCCCATATTCATTAGTTTATTAAAGATGATTTATCTATAGTTAGTTAGCTCACCAGCCTCATTGTGGCAGGGTGACTCCAGCTTACCTCTCCTCAGTATAGAATTTAAATCCACAACCTCCAGGTAGAGAGTCTGTATCTTGGGGAATCAGAAAAAGCTTAGCCACAAAAAAGCCAAAACATTGTCCTCCTCGCAGTCGCAAATGGCGCTTTAGAAAACGTGTTAAAGTTTACGAGTGCGCATGGAGAAGAGGTTCTGTGAGGTTTAGGATCTGTGCCTGCCAACGTACGTTAGTTGGCTTGCCATGAGGCCACTGTGTACATTCCTGCTGCTAATAATATCTCAGCGGGCCGCGGTCCTCCCCGTCCTCTCATGTGACAGACAGCCCACCGTGCGTCCTAGCGGTGTGTTTACTATGGCAGCAAAATGGCTCCTCTCTCAGCCCAGAGACTAGAGACCTGGGGGGGTTGGTGGTGAGGCTCCTCTCTCAGCCCAGAGACTAGAGACCTGGGGGGGGGGTTGGTGGTGAGGCTCCTCTCTCAGCCCAGAGACTAGAGACCTGGGGGGGGCTTGGTGGTGAGGCTCCTCTCTCAGCCCAGAGACTAGAGACCTGGGGGGGCTTGGTGGTGAGGCTCCTCTCTCAGCCCAGAGACTAGAGACCTGGGGGGGTTGGTGGTGAGGCTCCTCTCTCAGCCCAGAGACTAGAGACCTGGGGGGGTTGGTGGTGAGGCTCCTCTCTCAGCCCAGAGACTAGAGACCTGGGGGGGCTTGGTGGTGAGGCTCCTCTCTCAGCCCAGAGACTAGAGACCTGGGGGGGGTTGGTGGTGAGGCTCCTCTCTCAGCCCAGAGACTAGAGACCCTGGGGGGGTTTGGTGGTGAGGCTCCTCTCTCAGCCCAGAGACTAGAGACTGGGGGTTGTGGGAGCCCCCCC